AGCTGAGATAAACTGCAAGGGCAGGATTAGTGGGACTGCAGACTCCACAGCTCAGCTGTCTGCAGATGAGTAATTAGCATCCTCCACACAGCAGCACCAGTATCTCCTCAGTAGCACTGTGAGGTAATATCAAGAGTTGCATTAGTCATAGTGATAACTTAAAAAAAAAAATTGAAAAAACAAAAACCCCAAACCAAACCTAAACCTTTTTTCCCCCTTCTTCTATTGTGATAGTAAGAACAATGTCCTCCCACACTGAGAGGGAAGAGTTTGGCCTTTCCTACAAGGTGCTGGGAAGGGTGTAGCCTGAAAGCACATGTGGATCTGAGAATGTGATTGGTGGTATGGCTCTCTGCAATAAGGGTGGGTGTGGAGACTAGCCTGATATATAGCTGGGGCTGTTGTAGGTGATGTTTCTGGTAAGTCTGCTGGCAGAGGATGGAGAGGGTGTCTCCTACTATGGGATCTTCCTGCTAGTAAATCCCTTTCTGGTCTGTACTAAAACATTAAAGGATAGGCATATTTTTCATGTTGTTTCTAAAACTTGTATTCTAGTTGGGAGTTAGGGTGATATATAGGACTAGGTTTTGTGAAGTAATTTCATAGAATTCCATTAAAGTGCAAGGCTGACTCTGGTGTGACTTCTAGAAATGGGGTCTGTGGGAGGATCTGGTTCATGCTTAGAACTTTGTTTAAGACCTGTGCAAATAGTAGTCAGGCTGCCATCAGCTGCTGATATTGTAGCAACATGTTGAGTCCTGTAGTTGCTACAAACTACTCTACTGTAATTGAAAGTTAACCTAGAACAACTTCCTGATAGGCTTTACAAGAAAATTAGCCATCTTACAGTGAAGCTAGGCTAGTAAATATTATTGTATAATGACTTTCTGCTTTCTCTCACTCTTGAAAATAAGTTTGCTTCTTAACTCTCATGAAAGATCAGAGAATAAAATGCATCACTGCTCTTTATGGCAGTGTTTCAAATTCAGCTAAAACATTTCCTAACTTTGTTGCAATTATAGGGAATGGTAGGGAAAAAAAGTGCAGACATAAAATTACCCAAACGCTTAATGCCTTAGTAGCAAGTATACATTTTACTACTTTTTCTTCAGAAAAGCAAAAAGTAGATGAACTTTACGCCTAGCCTAATCAATTATATACAAAATTGACTTCTGTCTTTTTCTTGTAATTTTTTTTTGTTTTGGTTTGTTTGCGGTTTTTTGAGCCAAAGTTGTTGCTTTGGATGCTGTACACAATTCATGTAGAGTAGTCTGTGTCAGCAGGATCCAAAAATTGGGGTTGAAATGCTGATGCCTCATTACAGATCCTAAGTCAAGAATCAATAAGAAGACATATATAAAAGTTGGTAGTGAGCCACCAAGGCCTAGTTTGTCAGTCTTCACCTGAGAATAAATACTTTATCCAGCACAGAGACAAGTGCTAGCCCTTAGATCTGTAAAGAGAATAAATTGGTGCTTTTCTTGTTTTCCGCTGACTATGTTATTAGCTGTTCACAGATTGGTATCATACAGTGATGATTTACTGTAACAAAAATTTCCAAGTCATAAGCTTTTTTTCCTGGACACTAATAAGTTTTGTCCAATTTAGTAGGCAAAATATTCTTTTAAATTTTCTGTTTCACCTCTTGTCCTAATTATAAGTTATGTTCTCATAAAACTTAGTAATTCTCTTGATAATTAATTTAAAAATGATAACTTTGGATATCCTGTGAAAGATGTCTGGAAGGAAAGTGTAGAACCTCATTCCCCTGCATGAGAAGATGGGAGATTAATGTACTTCTAATGGTGCAAAGCATATTATTCTTAGAAATAGCAATGTGTTGAAGCATTTTTGTGACAAGTTTCAGTGTTTTAATACTGTTTTGGATAACTTCCTCTTCTTGCAATAGCACGCATTGGTTGGTCTCCAATCACTTGATTTAATGCCCACTCTCTGTTTTTTCTAGAGCAAGCTATTTTTCCTGAACCCATCCTGAAGAAAAACCATAAGGCTAAAGTACAGTGGAGATGATTAGCTCCTTATTCATTGGCATGCACAGATTGAATCTACTGCTGTTACCTTCCATCTAGATCTTGATTGTTTGTTTCCCCATGAAAGCTAATAATTTCTTTTTTCTTGCTTTGTTAATAGTGCCTACAACTGGACTTGTTATCAATTTAACCTTTGGGCATGGATGGATTAAAAAATATCATTTCCCCCTCCTTGTGTCTTAATGTTTTTAGTCTGCCTGTATTTAAATAGCTAAACAATGAAATCTCTATTGTCCTCTCAAATATGTGATAATCTCTTCTTTATTTTACTGGTTGCAGAGCAGAGTCTCCCATGATGATGTGCATTTGAACATAGGTTATGCTGTTTTGGATCAGGGTTGAGTCCATAATTTTACTTGCATTTGATGTAAATATATATATATGTATTAATTATATTTTGTTTCCTCTGTTTATTTTTTGCTTTTAACTTCCACACCCCTGTGCCCCTCCCTCCCCCTGCCATGCAATACCCCCCAAGCCTTTATAACACCATGGCTGCCCAATGGTACAACTCCTAGTGGGGCTGGGGAAACAGCTGGAAGCTTCCTCAGGATTCTGCCTCTTACACAGGGGCACTGTTTAATATGAATCATTACTAGGATGCTGAGGCTAATCTGTCTAGACTTAATCAAAGGCTCCTAAACAGGAGCATAAAGGTTTCTAAAGCATTTACTGTAGCCTTCAGACATGTTATTAATGAATGTTATCCCTCTTGCCTCCCTTTGTGAAGGTGAACAGCTTTTATGTAACATTGATACAACAGCTGCTGAAAGAACTAACACTTCATAATCCTGATCATCACAGTATCAAAGTATATGTATGGATAACACAGTCTAACAAGTACATCTTTTAACAACTGTATTTATAATTTTAGCTTTTAAATGGTATTTTTGCAAATATTGCAGTTGAAACAGTTTTATTTTTTTCTGAGCGTACTAGAACTTGTGAGGCTTGTCATGCTTGGCTTTAATGCAAAAGGATAAAGGGAATCCTCCCTCTTCATCCATGGTAATCCTCTGTAGTTTTTCACTGTTGGTTTTTCCCTTCCCCCATCTTTATTTCCTTTAATATCTCAATCCTGTTTGACAGAGTGAAAAAATGCTCTTTTGTAACATACTACTCCCAGTTTTGTATTTGAAAATGCACTATCCTAAAAGGTTTATTATTTCATATTGGGGAGAAAGCCATTGTGTTTGAGGCTTTGTGTCCATCCCTTCTCCCTACTTTCTCACTGGGGAAACAAAAAATAGATGAAATACATTTGCTTCGAGTCAGTAACTTCTGTCTTCTGGTTTTCCAAGAATAGCCAAATGCTGCCATTGGCTCACTAACTGTCAGGGAGACAGTGGAGACTGAGGAATTAATGCAGCCTCTTGAAAATACCAGCCCAAATGCATGATCATCATGAGTCATGGCTGAGTGCTCAGGTTATTTCACTCCTGCGATTTTTCTGCAGTAGAGACTCAGAGTCACAGAATGGGTCAGGCTGGAAGAGACCCTCATAGTGGGTCATCTGGTCCAACCTCTCTGCTCGATCAGGGACCTCCTAGAGCATGTGGCAGAGGATTGCATCCAGACATATCTTGAATATCACCTATCAGGGAGACTCTGCAACCTCTCTGGACAACATGTTCCAGTGTGTGATGACCTGTACAGTCAAGAAGTTCTTCCTCATGTTCCACTGGAACTTCCTGTGCATTGCTGCCTGTTTCTTCTTGTCCTATTTCTTGACACTTCAGAGAGGAGCCTGGCTCTTTTCTCTGACACTCTCCCTTCAGTACTTACGGACAATGACAAAGTCCCCTCTCAATCATCTCTTCTGGAGGCTGAACAGGCCCAGTTCCCTTAGCATTTCCTTGAGAGATGGTCCAGTCCCTTCATCATCTTTGGAGCCCATAGCATTTGTAGGAAGAGGACTCTTCTTGTCCCTTCTTGAGAGCACTGTCTGAACTCCTTCCCTAATCTGTCCCTTTCTAATTAACATGTGTCTTTTGGGATGTGCATGTCTCAGGGGAAAGCTTGAAAAGCCAGCACTTGATGAGAACTGATGACCGATAAAAATAGGTGGATATGGATGTCAAAATTTAAATCCATGAGAGATTTGGAGTGCACCCATAGCTGGCTGTGTTGTTTTCTCTCTGTAAAACCTAGTGGTTCTGTTTTTTCAGGTGTTGCAACCTACAACAAATCCTGTTGTAGGATGGGGACAGACATGCCAGGGGTTTGGTGGCATTATGTACTGAGAGTAAGTTGGGGGTGGGGGCAGCTCAAGAAATGGTGAGGTTATCTTGCTGTAGGTTTGGAGCCTTAAAAGTGTATGCTGGACAAATTTCTTCCTGCTCTGCTGCAAGGAGAGGATGCAGCACTTTGCTAGGAGTCAGGCCCCAGGAGAAGGGAAGAAAGGAGCTTTGAAGGGGAAAGGACCTTGGACCAGGTGCCTTAGAGGTGAACCCAGAGATGGTGTGCCTGAGTCAGGGGCAGTGTCATAGCATACCTGAAGTGCTTCTGCACCAATGCCTGCAGCATTTAGGTACAGGTTGGGCATCAGGAAGAGTTTCTTCACAGAAAGGGCGATTAGACATTGGAATGGGGTGCCCAGAATGGTGGTAGGAGTCACCATGCCTGGAGGCCTTCAAGGAAGGACAGGATCTGATAGTGCCATGGTGTAGTTGATACGGTGGTGTTTGGTCATAGCTTGGACTCGATGATCTCGGGAGTGTTTTCTAACCCAATTGAAGAAGCCCTTTCCGAGGGCCGTGTCCCCACGTCCCACAGCACCCGCACAAGGCGGGACCCCGCGGGCCGCCGGGGGCGGGGCCTATGCGCCGGGCCGCCAGGGGGCGCTGCGCGGGCCGCGCCGGGCAGCGGGGGCGGGGCTGCGGGCAGGCCGCGCGCAGGCGCAGCGCTGCCCCCCCGGCGGCGGCGGCGCGCGTCCCCTGCCGCAAGGGCCGCCGGTCCGTCGGCGGCGCGGGGGCGGGCGGGCGGCCCGGGCCCGGACATAAGATGGCGGCGGCGTTGCTGGGGCGGCGGCGGCGGCGGTTGCGGCTGTCGCGGAGCGCGGGCGGTGCGCGGCTCTGCCCGGGCTCGCAGGGCGGATAGAGCGGGGCGGCGCGGCGGAGCGGGGCCGCCATGGGCTCCCAGGTGCTGCAGATCCTGCGCCAGGGCGTGTGGGCGGCGCTGAGCGGCGGCTGGTACCAGGACCCGCACCAGGGCGCGGGGGTCAACGCGCTGCATCTGTACCTGTGGCTCTTCCTGCTCGGCTTCCCCTTCACCCTGTACATGGTGAGCGCAGCCCCGGCCTGTGCCGGGGCTCGGCCGGCCCTGGCGGGGCCCGGAGTGGGGGGGAGGGCCGGGAGGGGCCGCCGCGCGCGCGCCCCCTGCCCGCGGCGCGGCCCCGGGAACGGCCCCGGGCCCCTGCGCTGGGAGCGGGCCCGACCCCGCCATCGGGACTGCGGCGTTTCGGGAGCATCTACCTCTTCCTGGGAATCTGTGGGTGGGCGCTATCGGGGCGCGGCGGGGCTATAGGCGCTGGCACTTTGCCTTCGTCTTTCTGTTTACTTTCCTTAAAAATTGGAAATACCTCTGGCAGCTTCCGCTGCTGATCTCCTGGTAGGTCAGTAAAAAGCAGCTTCTACACGAACTGTCAGATTTAGCCAGTGTTTCTGACGGGCAGCAATATCAGTTTCTGACTTTTGAGTCTGGTGGGGAGATGTGGTTCCATAACCTAAAAGTTTTAGTTGGCTGTAGTGTGGTGTGTTGGCTGGCAGTGTATCTGTATTGTGTGTTATCGACAAGAAGTTCGTCTGGCTTTTTTGTTTGTGTCCAGATTTCAGTGTACTTGGTTTGTGAGAATTCCTGTCCTATATATCTTTGTAACTGACACTTCAGTCAAAGCTGTTAAAATACTAACCTTTAAACCTAGAAACTTTCTTGACATTTGGACTTAAAAGCACATAGAGGAGAGGTGTGATCAGATACAAGAAAAGGGGGTGGTTTCCTGTTGGGTAGTAGTTTTTTCCCTGTGTAAACTGTGTTTAACTTATGAAATGCTAATAGTTTACTTTGGGTTTTTCAATAGAAGAGTGTGTTCATATGTGTATTTGACCAGTTTTGTGCATATGAGGTAGAACATCGTTTGCAAGATTGCCAGATGCTGTGACAACCTAAAGTAGATGCTGTCTTGTGAAAATGTAGTTAGTGAATGAAATGTTGGAGATAAAATCATATGCAAGTGCAGTTGCAGAAATTGAGAGCTCTGAGGTCAGGCATTTGCTTTGTTTAAAAGCAATTTGTAAGGTTGCAGTATGAGACACTTCATACTAAGAACTAGCTAGTGTGGAAAAGAAGGTTACAACTTTATGGTTTTTAATTCACTTTACAGTGTCTTGAAAAAGCAGCTCTAATGCTTTTTGTTTGAAAACTTCTGGGCTGCTGGCAGGGAAACTAAAGGCTGAGACAAATTGCATTTAAAATTGAAGTTGCATGAGAACAGCTAGATAAAACTTTTAACTAAGCAGATACTTTGTATGAGAACTATGAATCTGTATCTATTGAAAGTTCTGCACAATATGGGAAGAGGAGACACCTTTTGGTTTCAAATATAGCTTTACAATTTTTTTAATAAATTGACAAATGTGAAATCTGGGCCAGCATTTGAGTCTCCTGCTGCTCTTAAAGCAGTAGGTAGGCTTCAGTTACCCATAGAATGGGGTACACTTCAGTGTTGCTTAAATAAGTTTTCCTGTATAAAGGGAAAAGACAGCAGCAAGCTGCTTTGGGTTTTGTTGAGGTCAGAGAAATTCTCTTGCTTCATAGCTCTGGACAAGTTAAAGATGCAACAAGTGCCAACTTCCCTGAGAATAAGTAGGGAGATTAGTCACAAGTTAAAGGAGATTGAATCATATTTGGCCGTTTTCCCTCTTTCCACCCTCTACAGTTTAAGTGTTGTCTAGACATAAACTAAACAGGCAGAACTGTGTTGGTCATCTTAGCCCTTTAGCATCTCGTAAGCTCTTTTTCAGAATAAAAAGCAATAAGTGTTGCATTGCTGTAGGCCATACATAAATAAGCAGAACTTGCTTAAAAAGTCTTAGGTAATTGTAATCTGAATTCTGAGCATGGCTCACTGGTGTGTAGGAGGGAGTTTCTAAACTAGCTTCAAGTGACTTGTTGCTGGCAGACAACCCTGTGTGTTTAAAAAATCAAGGTCTATAGAAAGACTGCTGATAGGTTTTGTATTACTTATAAAACTTCCCCATGTAAAGAATTACAAGATCATAGCATTGCTTTTATGCATTGGATCAGCAATAACTGTAGTTATTTCCAAGTTGTTTGTAGCAACAAAGACAAAATACAAAAGTATCCTCTAAGAATTTTGCTTGTAGCTGCCTTTCAATGCATTTAACAGTAGGCTAATCACTCTTCCCCCCCAAATGTTATTTAACCTCCAGCAGGAATAAAATGCACTAGGATATGGGAATTTAGGTGCACTTACTGCTCTAAGACTTGGTTTAGTGCATCCAACATTGCTCTTTTTTTTTTCTGTGCATTTGTTTTGTTGCTCTGGTATTTTCAGAATGGAATCTGGTAATGATTGTGGTCAGAAAGTAATGCCATAAATCTGTGTGTTCCTTTGTATGTGTATGCCTGTACTGTTAGGGTTGATGGATTTAATGTGTGGTACAAATCAACTTAGAAAAACTAACATTAGAATTCAATTACCAACCTTTTTTCCTTAGTCCCTCATCTGCCTTCTGAGCTTAAGCGTGTGCAAGTGAGTGTTGTACACTGTACAGTGTATACCTAAATGTACCTTTTTTGCCAATCTGGATACTTTTTCTTGTGTGTACAGTTAAACTGTGGTTGTTGGAAGTGTGGCAAAATAAATATGTCAATAATGAAGGACCTGGGGTCTAGAGTAAGCTATGCCTGCTTTAGGGAAGCAGCTTGAATCTGTGTTCTTGCGTTTGTGGCTTGGCAGTACACATACAAAAATTCTGCTTTCTGGACTAGTTAAGTCTATCCTGTTTGTGTACTTGTATTCAGTAACAGACTCAACTGTGCTTGTTGATGTGCCTTTCTATTGTAAGAGCTGATCCCTGCTTTTACTCTAATGCAAAGCTGAAATTGGGAGAAGAAAATGTGCTTTCTATATGGGGAAGCTGTCCAATCACTTTGTAAAATCTAGTGGTAGAGTTGAAAAAAATACCCTGAATACAGAGGCCAATGTGATGCATCAGTGTTGCAGGGGGGAGGGGAAAGAGAGGAGGCTGCCAAAGCACTTCCCCTAGTCGGAATGCTGTTTCAGCCCCACCACGTGTGCATGAGGGGGTGAAGTCTTGGCTCTGGCACTTGTGGAATTTTGCCAGTGACTGAAGAGGAGCCAGGACTGTACCTTGCTTGGGGTGATGGGCTCGCATGTACCTACAGAACTTGTCTGTCAAAGTCGAGCTCGTTTAGTCAACAGTTCACTTAATTTCCTGACTTGTGTACATAGTTATAGAAGTAGGTCATATAAATGTAGCTTCACGTGGAAGTTTTTTCCACTGAAGTTGTTGAAATATGTCCTGTTTCTTAAACTAAGATGTTAAATAATTGAAATTCAATTTATGATAGCAATTCCTGATATGCCATATTGTTCTAAGACACTTGCAGTCTCTTGCTACTCAAGTTTCAGTGGTATTCTTTGAGGTTTTGGTCAAAAACTAGATAACTTGTGACTGAACTTTCTTCCGGATAATGGCAGTTCTTAAGGGCTCTGTCCATAAAAAAGAATTAAGGACTAAACTATGTCTGTTGTTTCCTGATTCATCGTCTTTTCCAGTAAAACTGTTTCTATAAAATACTGGGTTCAAAATACTTGTACTTTTAACTCTTTTTACTAGATGACTTACTTCTTAATGTTTATGTGATAACACCTTTATGTAGGGATCTGTAATCTGGTTCTATTTTGAAGACTTATCTGTTAAAAACACTCATAGTAATGCATTTATTTTTTGAAGATAATCTGGAATTTTTGTTACATCTGTGGGGCCTAGCTAAAGCCAGGTAATCAGATTAGGTAGGACCCATATAGTGTTAGTTTCTTCGTAAGGATGTTGTACAGCCTGTAATCAATGAAATTTCCTCTGGTTCCTGGCACATATGTGCTGGAAACATTCATTTGAGATACAGTGACCTTCTGTAGTTTGAATGGAAATATTTTAGTGCTGGAAGTGATGGTGGGAGGTTTCTTTTCTATTTTGAACATTGGAATCTAGGAGTGCTTAAACCTTTTTTTACCTACTCTTTTAGAAAAGGTGTGTTGTGATACAAGTGAGCTAATTTAAGAGCCAGGAGGTTTCAGAAGACATAGTCCTCCTTAACTATGCCTTCCTGTATCTTACTTTTGTCCATATGAATATCTTGCTTTTGTTAAATTCACTTGAAAGATCTAAATTTGGAAAGTAACTTGTCGGAAAGGTGGTAGAAAATCAGTGTCCTTCTCTCTGCCCCCCATATTTGAGAGAACTACTTAGCTTCCCTTTAAGATTCAGATAAATAATTTTGGGTAGGAACTTATCTAATAGTTGGGTTTGTTCAGTAATTAGATAACTGAAGTTTTCAACAGAACATAATTAAAAGCACACAGTTTTTATATAGTTCTGTTTAGCTCTTTATATTGTACAAGAGCTTCTGTTGTGATGACTGCTGTGGAGTATGTGTTCTTTTGGTGCTAATGCAAGTGAGTAGAAATGTGCAGTAAAAATGGGTGTTCTCTGAAATACTGTTGCAGCTGTAGCCTTGTGGCCAACTGGTGTCTAGTAACAACTCTGGCCTGAAGGTTTTAGTGTGCTGGGCTCAAGTAAAATGCTTTAGTATTTGAAATTATTTTGATTTTAAGATGTAATCTAGTGAGAAATTTCTATGACTCAGATTTGTATTCCAGTCCTGAAGGTGGTATCACATGGGATGCTGGTGACAAACATGTCTCTCCTCAAATGTGGTAAAGTGCTGAGCACAGTTGGAAATGGAAGTCTCACTTTAACTTGCTTTGTCTTGTGGAGAGAAGACCCCAAATTTATGTTGAATGCTTCGAAGTTTGGCTTAGAAAAACAGAAGTTGCAAGTGGTTTAGCTTAGGCTGCAGTAAATTTCCTCTTGAGGCTGTGCTGCAGACAAGTTGCTGGTGCCATGGGTGGCAGTGCTGCACCACAGCATGATACTTGATGTCAAGTGTTTTCATATGGCAGACTAAGCTAGCTAAAATGCCTTCTATTCCCAGAATATATACCCTATTCTGAGATGAAAACCTACTACAAATATGAGAAAGAAAAGGTAATCAGTTACCTTAGCTTTTTAAATTTTTTTCTGCAATCCTGTGAAAACAGGGTATGAGGAAAAAGTTTGAATTCCCTGTGAGGTTTGCTGTAAGTTACATGAGGTGTTTTGCCTTTTTTCGGTACTTGTTCTTAAAGCTTTCCTTTGAAAAACTGGAAGTGTAGATTTTGCAAGATAACCTGAATATACTGTGACCTCACTGCTGACGGAGTAGAGGCGAGAAATTGATGAGCTCTCTAGACAGAAAAGTAGAGGCACATCTTTTATGGAGTAACTCTAGCTTTTGTTATCTAGCATTAGTCTGGCTCTTCTGGTAATGCCTCCTGAGCACTGGGTATTATAGAGGAGAGGAAAGTTGAAGCTGTGTGTGATGGGGTAGCAGACTGCCTAGCAGGTACAGGAAGTTCATGCATTTTCCCAAAGTTAACAGGCTGGCAGGAAACCGACTCTGAAGTTTTTGGAAGTGGAGGCACCTCATTTCTTGAGGAAACCATTCTAGCATGGCTTCAGGGGTTGTAGGGTTGCCATACCATTGTGGATCCTGTTTGCTTATTGATGCTGGTTTTAAATAGCTTGGTTTCCTCTTTCTCCTCCTTAGCTGGTGCTCGGTGAGTGAATCTCTGTTCATCATGGTGATGTTCAGCTCAGCATACAAAATAAAACTTAGCAAACTTCAGCTTAGTTGGCCTGGCTTACTTCAAATGTTATATTCAGTGTTGACTTAACTTGTTTTGGAGGAAAAGGTAGGTGTTAATGATGGTTGTCAGACTTGACTTGTTTTGGAGGAATATCTTCCTAAGTTCCAGGGGCGTCTTGAAGAGTCAGAAGGGGAAATGAGTAGAGAAAAGGAAAAGTAGGCCTCTCTATTCAGCACATATGACCAGGTTGAGTCCTTTAAAATTGTTTGGCTGACTACTGTGGTTAAGTTATGCTTAAAATCCTTCTAGGATTCAGGGCAATAGTTTTAGGTAGGAGATTGTTACATTGCATGATGTTACACTGTGTTATCAGCCAGTCAATTTTAGACGGCTCAAAATGTTTCTATGCACTGGTTAGAGAGGCATTGCTGTCTTCTACTCTGAGCATTGTTTTGACTCTGCAAGATGTTCCTGGGGCTTTTTTATCAATGATGACTCTTCCCTTCCCATGGTCTCTCTAGGGAGATAGGAAAATTAGCTGGAATTGTCCTTCAGCCATGAGGTCTAAAAAGACAGCTCATTTGTTCTACTCATTTAGTACATTAATGTTCAAGCTGGATATCTGATGTTTAATTCTGATTGTCATATGTCCGTGTGTATTTTTATATTTTGGAGGTATATCTCAAACTACACTGTGAGCAGGGTAAAGGATAGTGGTGCAGTGAAATACTTCACAACCTAAACTTTTGTTGCTTTTGTAAAGGAAATGGTCAAATTTTGAATAAATACTGAGACTAAATATCTCATTTTGTTTAATCACTGCCTAGGGAAATGGCAAAATTTAAAAACACAAATAAAGTGTGTTTTAGAAGGATGAATGCATTGAAGTGAAATCTGAAGTTTAACCAGTACTTGGAACACTTCTCCTCAATAGCTGTCAGGCTGGACTTTGTCAATACCTATTGCTGAAGTGATTGATTTGTGAAAGCCTTACTTACCTCTGCAAGAGCTGCATGCATTCCACTCTTAGCTTAGAGCAGAATTTCAAATGTTGCGTTCAGGACTGAGGGGTTTTTTTAATGTGGTTTCTGACCGCCTTTCATACAGATGAAAAATTTTTTTCAGAACGTGTGTTGACTACCTTTCCATGGGCATACAATGATCTAGCACAAATCTTTGCTGCCCGTGGTCTTGCAGGTTGGGTTCTGCTGTGCAGTGTGTGAGTCACACATGTGGGCAACCTCTTTATGTATGCAAGTAGGAAACAGTTTGGCTTTTGTGACTGATCAGTGTCTTGTAATGCAGCAGTAGCTGTTGGAAGCTGACAAGTGAAGTCAAAACACCAATGTTTGGTATCTATGCAGGTTTTCTCCTGTCCAGTCATGCTGTCAAACGTGCATCAAGTTTTTCTGAAATGGACTTGATGCTGTGTACTAGCCCTGAAATAAGATCTCACCCTGTGCTTTGTTGGTTTTTTATGTGCTTAAAATCTTCCCCTTTTTTTCTACTCATAGCAATTAAAAATATATATCTCACACATGCTAGCTCTAAATTTCCTAGTCTAGGTCTTGCATTGCAAAAGCATAGAAGGAGAGAGTGAGAGTTGAGCTTGGTTCTCAAGCTAGTTTATTTAGTACAATGCTGTGGTGATTTAGTATCTTTGCTAGTGCAACGGTTTCTTTCTTCTGTGTTGCTAGACAAGACTGGCTGTAGGTGGTGTAACTTTCAGAATTATCATATTTTCTCCATAAAACAAACAGTTAAAATCTAGGGAGTGTTCTTATGGATATCTGACCTTGTGTTCATTAACTTTTTCTTGTTCTTTTTTTGAAAGGCTCTTCCTTCTTCCATGATGATAGTAGCTGTCTACTGCCCAGTGATAGCAGCTCTCTTTATCGTTTTGAAGATGGTGAATTACCGTTTGCACAGGGCATTGGATGAGGGAGAAATTGTGGAGAGGAATGCCAGTGAGCATATGGACAGAGGTGCAAAAACAGAACAAAGCAGTGTTTCAGTGAAGAGGAAAGACAGCAATGGGCCCAGGTAAGTTGTCTGCTGAATTTTGCATCCTGCTTCAAATGACTAACTGGTCCTGTCTTCATCAGCTGTGTAACTGGAATTGTGATTGACATTAAACACTAGGGAATGTAGATACAGAGCTCTGTGGTTCTGAAAGATGGTTTTAAGTCTGGTTTTGAAAAGTAGACTTATTTATGTATTAGGTTTGAAATAATGCATTCACAATAATTTCCTAGTTCCTCCCCCAAAGGAGTTCAAGAGCAGTATTGAACATGCTGGAAACAATAGCATGGGAAATGTGAGCCGATTAGGTCACTAAATGTTTAATGAACATAATTAGTACAAGTAATCTAATTTCAGTAGTAGATGTAGTATTAAAAATCTAGCTGTCAAAGACCACATACTACATGCTAATTCTTTCCTCACCAGGAGGAGTGTCTGATTGGGTTGCAATTTTAGTGTTGCAAAACCAGGAGTTGGATATAATGCTTGACTCCAGTCAGTCTTTTCAAGGAGAATACTGTCCTGTGAATTTGGAAATTCTGGAAATGTTGTGCTCAGTAATGACGATAATGATTCTCAAGTACTGTCAATAGGAGGTGATTCCTTTCCAGAGATCTCCTTTGTAGCCATCGTAAAACAATGCCAGAGGTTTTCCTCCTCTGACCAGACTATTTGGAGAAAGAAGAGTAAAAGATGACTCATCAACAAGGCTGGCTTGACCAGTTTGATCAGACTGTGGATGTTATGAGCTCTAATATCAAAGCCTCTGCCTGCCTTAGATAATTTGAGACCATCTTAAAAGTTAAACTGCATGAAATAAATCAACCTTGAATTGTTAGCTTTTAGAGATGGCCTTTCTCTTGTCTCTGAGTTTCCGGTACTAGTAGCCATGAGTAGTTTTGAAAGAGAGGTGATTTGTATGTCCTGACTCTTAAAAGATTGTGTGTCTTACTAAGGAAACGTGGTTGAAAGAAGCCTCTTGAGTGTATTTATTGTGATGCTTTTAAAGAGATGAAGTGTTCAACTGCTGCTCTTTAAAATGATAAGCCTAGAAGTAAAAGGACATTCCCGTCTATATATGGGGTAGCTCCTCGTGGTCGTAGGTTCTTGCGTGTCTTCTCTCAGCTCAGGTATTGTTGGCAAAAACGATGTCTTAGATTCCTCTAAAGCTGATATACAGTAACTTCTCGTATCAATCATTTATAAACCTGACCTGTTTTCCATGATGTGTTTGGCAACTGAAGCTGCTGATATTAATTGTGACTCTGTTTAGATCACCCTATACCTTACCAACACTGTACTGAGGTATTTTGGCAGGCTGCTTCCCTAATTGTATCTTAATGCTTACTCTGCTTAATAAAATTCATGGAAGTAAACTAGTGGTCTGTTCTTTCTCATGCAACCTTGGTGATGCATGTTTTAGATGTGACCTTTAGGCATTTTGTCTGAGTTGTTTTTGGTGGGGTTTTTCTTTTTGTTTGGTGTTTTTGCTATGTAGCTTTTGCTTCCAAAACGGGCCCAGAGTTGGTAAGGGAATTTCTGCTAGTGTTGTGAATTACTTCTGGTTGTTTCAGTTCTGTTTTGTCTAGGGAGCACTTGACATGGGACGAGATACTACATTATAAGCATTGTGAGCTCAGAAGTAGAGGTTAGTTTAATGCTGTGTGTCCTGCTTGCCAACTAAAGTTTCATTAACTTTTATATGATCCTTGTTCCCACTTTCAGGTCTCTTAACTAGAACTGGGAACAAGGTCAATGCAGAAATTACGGAGTTACTTTTTGGTAAGTGGGATGTACAGTATACACTAATCTTTGCCTGGAAGCTGACAAGAACTCTGGGGTAGCATTCAAACCAGTAGATGGGATGTAGAATGAGTGTTTGATATTGAGCTGTAACCTCCTTAGCAAGTTAAAATTGGAACACTAATAAAAACCCAAACTGGTCGGGGAAGAGAATGTGTGTGTAGGATTTTCTGATTTTTAAACTCTGCTCCCCTAATCCAAGGTGGATATAGGGGAGATCTGAGCAGAGATACTATCTAAAATATTTGCATAATCAGAATATTAGTTTTGATAGCTTAGGCTACAGCATGTGATACTGAATAGATATGCATATAGTATAGTTTGCAAAGCCATCCTCGAGTTGTTACCCTGCCACATATACAGTCATGGAGACCACTTTAGATAGAAATCGTAGTATATTTCTTTGCAGGATTAAGCAGTGGTTGTGTTCAGGATTTTGTTTAGCTTCTAAGAACTGCTGTTCTTTTTTTCTGAAGATGTTTATCATCCAAGTGGTGCTTTCAGGTATCTAACAAATTATATGCTGTCGTTTGTGGGCTTGCTTGAACTGCTCATTTATCTTCAGTTAGTTGTGGTTTGTGGATGGGGGTTTCTTTCCATGAAACTTTGGTATGTTTAAGCAAAGAACAACTTACCATTCCTTTAGAAATGCCTTGTTTATTTTTTTTCTCTCCTCTTTCTAAAGCTGAAATTCTCTAGTTAATGTTTTTGAAAGAAAGTCTTAATTTAGAGAAAGGAACGTGAGTTGCTGTTTTCGTACTTCAGGTGTTAGTATGGTAATGTTTGTGTGAGGTTTCATGAAAGCAAGTGGGGGGGGATAGAGGCTCTTGGTCTCATAGGAATATAGAAGCAGTGCAAGCATGATCTTTGTTGGGTATCAGTGGACCCACATAAATAATTTAAAGCACTTAAGTCAATCTTTTTTTGGATATATGAATATAGCTTCTTGTCAGTGGCTGTTATGGTTCAAAGTGTCATAAAGTGTTCATCTGGTGACACTGGTGTTCCTAATCTCCACCAGCACCTGTAATAATGATGCTACATAAATTTCACGTCTACTTCTACCAAGTAAAGCTAGTAGCTGGAAAATGTTGCATCTTTGAAATATTTACGGTGTACTTAAATTTGAGCAAATAAAATTTGAAAAAGGTCATCTCTCTCAAAGACTGTTGCCTTTGCTATTTATTCTCCTTGCAGTTTTCTGTGGCTGGGAGACATGTTCTTGAGTTTGGAGTTAGTTTTTAATTTTGACTATCATTAGTGACTCAGGCTTGGAAGAAAATTTCTCTTAATACTTGAATCTGTTGTGATCTAGCATTTGCAGTACATGCCGTGGTTCTTATGTATTTTGACAGCAGCCTCCTGACTAGTTACCCTACTCTTTTATTGGACATTAAGGACAGATGATGATTTTCAAAAGATAATAAAACTCTTCCTCTGCTTTGTCCAGAAATCAAAGAAACTTATTTCTGATTACCCCTTGAAGTTCTGGTCTGAATGTCAGATTTCTGTAGTCAATCACCTAAGTCAGATTTTAAACCTGAGTTCATGTAGACTTATGGCCTCTTCATGCATTTGGTTAGTCTCTGACATGCTGATGAGATATACCTGCAGATAGTAATTTTCCTTCAGAGTTACTGATAATTAGAAACAGTAGTTTTAGTTTGCTTTATGTCATCTTTGAGTGCCTCTTTCACAGCAGTCTCTCTTGCTGGCTGTAATTTTTTCAGTCTTCTTGATTTGTGTTGTAACTTCACTGCAGTTATTTTGTTTGCAAACTGTAATGTGTAACACTTGCCTAAGAATGAAGACAGCAAACTGTAAGAAACAGATGGTAGAATTTCATATCAGGAAGTCCTGGCCACAGCACTAGTGTCAAGTAGCTCCTAAAGAACTCTGGATGTTGCAAAAGTCTGGGTATTTAGGCATACAGTGGTCAATCCTAGAAATCTGTTTCCTGCTTCTTCCTGCAGACTTGATTTGTTGATGTTTTTTACTAGCTTTTGTTCATTCATTTGTGTGTGCTATCACAGAATATAGGAGCTGTGAGTAGAGTGGCGGTGATGGATTTTGTTGTTGCTTATGCTGATATCTGGTGGTTCAGTTTTAGACAAAATTGCTGCCTTCTTTGGCTAACGACCTGGTTCTATGCATGGAAGCTTATTTGCAATGACTATTTTTCTACTTCATAAGATGTACTTTAATCACATGCAATGTTTCTCAATGAATTATTCAAACAGGAAAGGAATTTCATCTTTCTGTGAAAGTCATTCTTTATTGTATCTTCAGTTGACGTTGTAATGTATGCTGAACTTAAGCATTGTGAGAATTTTTCAGTTTAGTCTTTAAATTCATGTTATGTCCTTATGTATTCTTAAAATGCTTACAGAAGGAATGCTTTGGCTGAAGCTGGTGCTGATTCTTTTAAAATTCATTTTCCTTACCTGCCTTAGCATAATTGATAATACTAGGTCAGAGAGGGCTCTGTAAACAGCCATCTCCAAGAGTATGCCTGTCTCATTGTTCAGCTGTAACAAAATGGTGGCTTCTCACTTCTTTTTTTAATTTGCTGGAGTTGGACCATAGTTCTTCTGCTAGCTAACGGCTGGTTGTCTTGTAAGTTAACTTATTTTTACTGAAGGAATATAGATATTCTTAACTTCAAACTGTCCTTTTTTTTGTCATCTCTGATGTAGGAAGAATCGTGTGCTTCTTATATTATTTAGAGTGATTCCCGAAGTTGTGCCTGTACACCTCTCCAAGATGACAACAGCTTAACATGTTGTGCTGCAGGATGAATCATGTGTCAGGTCCTTTAGTGCGCAGACAGTTTGTTTACAATATCCTTGATTGATGTCCATGTATTTCAGAAACTATTGGAATCACAGAATATGCTGAGATGAAAGAGACCCCATCAGGATCATCGATTCCAATTCCTGGCCCTGCACAGGCCACCCTATTAAGTGTTGTTCCTATTGTGTAAGACTTTCCTATAAGACTAGTTGTCTGTTCAGTAAGCCTTGCAGTGCTTCTGTCCATTTGTGTTCCCTTCTTCAGAGGGCCTTTGTCTTTAGTGTATTTGGTCTGACGGACGAGCATTGTGCATGAGTACTTTAAGCAAAATGCTGGAATTTGATTGTTGAGAAGCTGTTGTTCATACCTGGGAAGAAGCAGAGAGGATCAGTGTCAAATTACCCTGCAGATACTCCTGGATCAAGGTGCTTGAAGAGAACTTTAGTGGGATAGGAAAAAGAGTACCTCAACTGCTTCCTCTTTGCAATTAACAATCAGTGCTGGGTTGGATCCTTGTGTTTTAGTCCTCAACTGACTTCAGACCCCATTGTCATAATGGATGAATCCAACTTGCTTTTTTTTTTTTTCATAAAATATTTGCCTTTGGCAAGCTGAATTCTGTGGAATTACAATTTGATGGTGTTGCTCTAGGAAATACTTTCAAACCAATAGTTATTAATCCTGAAAGGGTGAGATCACTAGGATGCAATGATATATGTGTTGTACCTCAAAATATTGCTTGGTAGGAGCTGTAAAGTATCTGAAGGGAAGTTATTTTTGAGTAGAAAGATGTGGTTTGCATCCCTGGAAGAAATACTATGGCCCTGTATATCTCTGCATGTTTAAAAGCTTTCATATATGGCTTTCTTCATTAGCCATCCTTGCTTTTGCTCCCAGATTCAGTCTAAGGAAAGGACCAAGAGGCCTTTCCATGCTCTGAGTTCTATGTAGTATTTTCTTCTAGAGGTGAATTTCTGGGTGTTATGTTTGAACAGCTGATCCAAAAGTAACATGTGCACATAAAGACCGGGAGAACTTAAAATGTCAGCATTTTGGAATGCCTTATAGGGCCTAAGTCTTCACAGTTTGTGTTGGCTGGTGACAGTGGACTTGGGGCAGTAGTTTCTGTGAGAGTGTATAGAGTGCTCTGGCTCAGACTGAGCTTCCTGTGTCAAACAGCCAGTGTTCATCCAAGATATTGGGATATATTTGAGCCCATGATTTTTGAGAAAGGAAAATCTGTTTTGAATATGCGCTCAACATAGACAAAATTTTGTTTAACTGGTGGGGATAATGTGTTGATTTTTTTTTTTAATGTTTCAGTGACCCTGGTGGAGGGATTGAGATGTCAGAGTTCATACGAGAAGCAACTCCCCCTGTTGGCTGTAGTTCACGCAATTCTTATGCTGGGATAGATCCAAACAACCAGGTAAGAATTAAAGCTACTACAGTTGTTGCTTTAGTATTGTTGGCTTTGCAGTCCGTAGATAACCTCTTCCTGTTATTTTGTGGGGGTTTTGGGTAATTTATATTCGATTAAAAATAATTTTCTTTTCTGTATGTAACTGCATTATTAGGAAGGCATTGCATTCTCCCAGCAGCGTAGCTCTCAACCCATCTTGTACTTAAATTAGGAATAACTGGATTTTGAAAGGGAACCTACTGTCCCATCAGTAACTATTCCCTTTTCCTCAGTTAGCTTTCTTCTGATTTAAGAAATCAAAATGGCTCAGAGTATGGTGAGCTAAGTACTAAGAAGGTAGTGGGATTCCCTTGTCCCTTTGGGTAGCTCAAGCTGTATCTTCATGCTGATGTTCTAACTTTGTCTTCTTCCCTTACTTTTGTTTCTTCTACTATTTAAAGCTTAATCTGTAAATTTAAATGCTGTATTTGAGGAAGCTTATGTTAAATTATCTTAGAATATTTCCACTGCTGATTATCTCTTGCAGTTGTGAATGGCTTTCTGCAGATTATTATTCCTGATAGGTCAGATTTGGGGGTCAAAAAAGTTAATTTGCTGAAGCATAAAGAAAGATAAACTGCTAGAAATGGAAAGACTAAAACTGTTTAATTTTTGCATGTCCTCTGCAAAATCTTCACTTCCTTGATTGTTCAGCAGGATTGGGAAGAAAGCAATAAATAGGGAGTCCTGCCAGATGGAAGTGCTGAAGAACGTGGCTTTATTACATTTTAATGTAACTTCATTATGCTCTAGTTGCCTTGAATTTCACTGGGGAAGTTACTCTGTTTCCGTATTACGTCTACCAGGTCTATGTGTTCAAATTCCATAGTGTTGGATGTGCTGTTCCTTCTGTTTGGCTTGTGACATTTAGCTGGTTGTGGCTAGTTTTTATCAACCCTTCATGAGGACAAGTAGATGAAGTGGTCAGGCTGTACAGTTATGTTGATAATGAACAATGCAGCATCCTGGTAAAGACACAGAACCTGTCTTCAAATGACATGGAAGTCCTTGGCATGGTATTACAATATCATGTTCTTCTAATTAGCTCTCTGAGCAAGCAGTAGATAACCAAGTGCAGTGGTATACTAATGCTGGTGTTTTATCTGAATCAAGCTCAGTTATGCAGCATAGATACTCTTAAGAGATTTTCCTTCAAGGGAGAAGGAATTTGCTGGTGCAAAGGAATAGGAAGTGATAGTCCATGTAGGAAGATCGAAACATGATGCCCAGACTAGTTACTTGACTGGTCTTGGGAAAAAATATGTTCCAAACATAACAGTTTTAATATTAAAGCATGTGAAGAAGTTCAAGCTACTGTGAAAGAAAGTATAGTGTATTTGTTCTAAGAAAATTAGTATTCACTTGTCCTCTGATTGAATGTGCAGCATCAAAAGGAAACATGAACAGTTAGCATCTGAGTTCTGTTCAGTTGTTCTGTATGAAATAGCTTTCCTGTGATGATGCATTTGTATTCAGTGACATATTATTGAATGGAAAACTGTTGAAACATGACAAAATGAGTTACTAAAAGTGTGTGTGACAATGTTGCGAAGCAAATGTATTAAACAAGCTCTTAGCTGTTTTTTCAGATTATACATAAAGCCATTGTTCTTCTGTGCTATGGCTGAATAGGATCTGCACGCATCTTCAGGTTACCTGAAATTGCTGTGCTTACAGAAAATAACTAGTAGAATTTTGCTCTTTTTCCCAGAGTAATTTTAACTAGGCATTTTTGGAAAACAACATCCCAGTAAGTATACATCTATCAATCAAATGGCCATCATATTTATGTATTATAGGTTCGGATTTTGCCTGAGTGCTCTTCCTCTATTTTATTTCTGAGTGATTTAATTATCTGACACCTGCATTGTTGTATGCTCTTTGTAGTTGAGAGGTTGTATTGAAAATGTTATTGAAGGTAAGACCAAATTCTCTTTAGCATTTCTGCAAATGCACTTTAAGACCAAATTCTCTTTAGCACTTCTGCAAAGTAATCTCCAATGGATTATAGGATATATTTAGAAAGGTAGATTGCAAACCTAAATGGTGAAATTTTTTGTATGAGCAGGTACCATGCCTACTGGTTTGCCATTGAATGTGAAATTAACTGGGAAAATATGTATCTTTTCACATGGGAGCAATTTTTGGATTTAGCTTGGTGTTTATTGTGAACAGATAAGTTTTATACTAAGATGGATAAGTTTTATACTAAGATTATGTTTTCTTTAAGCATTTTAGGCAACCAGAATCCTGGCATTAAATGTTAAGTTTTACAACAGCAATTATTACTGTCACACTGCACTTGTACTTTGTTGCCACATTACGTCAGGAGAATTCCTAGATTAGAAACTTTTTAAAATTAGCATAGTAAAGTCTCCATGAACACTGGCTTTTGAATTGAATAGTGCTGTGATGTATTTGGATGCTTAATTATATGACTTTTCATCTCTTTGTAGTGGAAACATAGTCAGAATTTTACAGCACTGTGCTGCTGGATGCTTTTGTGGCTTTAAAAACCTCTCCTAGGTGTATAGGCAAATGCATGAGTTGGACTAATAGGAAATAACAATTGTTTATTTCCTGAAAGTGTACAGCTTTTTACATAATTTCCTGTTTCTAGGTTGGATCTGGGTTATCTCGTCTGGGAACAGCAGCAACCATCAAAGGTGAGATTTTTAGCTAGTTAAATTACCTTGCAGAAGCACTTCAAATCACTATTGTTTACTGTGTTGTTTCCAAATACTGTCTGCCTTCTATCTTGACGATTTTTCTTTTTTGAGTGAAACATAGCATTTACTAGTTGGGGGAAGTCTTCTTTGGACATGCAAATGATACGACCTAAGCATAAGGAGAGAATAATCTGGGGTCCATAGTCTACTTCCCATGTAATGACAGCTTTTCCATTTGCCTATAAAATGCAGAGCCAAAGGGTTGGTTGGGGTAGACCTCTCTCTACTATTTTGAGTTCAGTGAAACCAATTACCCTTCTGGTATTGCATATCAATGACTTGATTACTTCTTGTTGTTTGACATTTAGCTGAAGTAATTTCCAGCCCTTGTGAACTCCTCTAAGATGAAAAGATAACAATTTTGCATATTATGAGTATTTTCTTGTAAATTTATCCAGGCAATAATAAGGCAAAAAAAAAATTGAATGCAAATTTTTGTCACCTTGATTTTGTTTTTCTCCTTGCTTTTCTGACCATTAGAAGTATTTTCTTAGTCTACCCTTTTTTTATGGACAACCCTGAAAAAAGAAATATTCCAGTAGATGCACTTTGAAGGGAAAAAAACCCGATCTTGATTGCCATTGAGTTCTGTGGAAGATAATAGAGTAGACAATACTCATATCTAAAAGAAATCTTGTGTTATTGTAATTTTGTAACTACTGTTACTTACCTATAGATGAAGAAATACAAGCAACAGTCTTCCATGACAGTTGAGAATGTAGGTGTATCTGTTAATACTTTGAGCACTAGTACTCTTTTTTTCTTAAAACTTGCAGGTGATACTGACACTGCCAAGACCTCTGATGATATCAGTTTGAGTCTTGGCCAGAGTTCTAGCCTATGTAAAGAAGGGAGTGAAGAACAAGGTAAAATTTCTTCTTCTCCATATTTAAACATGGTGTTTTGTTACCAAAGACCCTTTGCTTAATATGCTAAATAAATTCATGCAGTTTACTGATACCCTTTCTTGGAGTCTATCTTGAAGTTCCCTGTTTCCTTTCTTAATTACTCAAGCTTCTGAGAAGCGTAATTTGAATGCTTATAACTTTATTCTTTGACTGTGTGTTCCTTGTTCTGACATCTTCCAGCAGGTAATAAATATTTACTGTCACCTTACTGCTGAAAGATAGCTAACTTGATTTCTTTAGACAATATCTCTTGGACTACAGGTGGCCTGTGGTTAATGGACTTCATTGTAGATTAATTTGCTTTCCTTATGAGTACAGACAAATGAAATTGTGGCGAGCTTTTCTATAAAGTAAATAACCCCATACAGAGCTCTATGTTCTTAGACCTATAGGCCACTTCCAAGATGCAAGTTATCAGAGCTTGGTTAATTTAAATTTTTTTTTCTACTATGTAAGGAAACTGTTAGCTTGTGTTCTGAAACAAAACAAAACAATTTTTTGTTTAGCTTCATTGTCCAGAAAAGACCTGCTCAGACTAAAACAGAGCATAAAACCAAAGGGAAATCTTTGTTTGCCGATTTTCTGGTGATTAGGAGGAAGTTAACTCTGAGAATGCCTTTCATTTTTGCCAGTCTAATCACTAGTGGGTGATTAGAACCATTAGATGGATGATTCAATCATTACTGTGTGATTCGGTGCAAAAAGTGTGTTTGGAATGGAGCATCACAGATGGCCATGCTGTTGTAATAGGCAGCAGGGTTCTGCAACTTTCAGCTGAGTAATGTAACTGTGAAGTCTCTTAAGTTACATGCATTCAGATATATTCTACAGGAATCTGACAACTTAGCCTCCAGATCTGCTAGTGACAGTAGCAAAAGGGAAAGTAGCCTGACTTTTAGTACTGCCTGCAGATGGACAGTTTTACGGGAGACTGCTTGTGATGAGTAACAGGAATGATTGTTTTAACCAAGAGCTAACAGTAAATCTTCATGGTTTGCTTTAACAACAAAAGCACCTTTTTTTTTTGGTAGAGGTAGTAAAACTCAGTGACTTCATAGGTAGTTTCGTTATAGTACAAAAAGATCTGTGACAGTGATTGCATCTTTGCTAACTGAACTTACTCGGTATCTGGTAGGAAAGGTGATTCTTGCTGGGTTTTTGGTGACTTCAGAGTTAATAGAGTTGACTGTGTTTTCATTAATAACTTTAAAGTTTGTTTAATGCATGTAGAAACCAAAAAGAAAGGCAGGGTACTCTTTTATAATTAAGAAACTTTGGAATATGTAAAAATATTAAGTCTGAGACACATAAGCAATAGAGGAAGTTGGGAACTTGTCAGAATTGCCTTGTCTTATCAGTTGCTAGGGATAAGCTGGTAGTGATGGTTTCTTTTTTTTATTAAAAAAAGGCTTGTCAGATTTGCCCAAATGTTATAAAATATTTTTAAATGGTAATGTGACAAATTTGTAGTACTTGCAGTTGGATTTTTCAGTTCATTTACTTTGTCTGATATAAACTAACAGTTTCAAAGGAAGCTATACGACTTACATGAACATTCTACATGACTATTTTTAAATATGTACTCAAACAGATTTGGCAACTGATCGGAAGCTTTTTCGTCTGGTGTCGAACGACTCATTTGTCTCCATCCAACCTTCATTGTCCTCTGGACAGGATTTGCCAAGGGACAGCGGTGACAAAGTGTGCCTCTCGAACAACCAGCTTGTGGACCAGTCTAAAAACGGTGCATGTGACACAGAAGTAGCTTCGCTGGTAACTCTGCATTCTCACTCCTATAGGAAGGATCATAGACCTCGAGGTGTACCAAGGACTTCTAGCTCTGCTGTTGCTTTTCCAGATGCTTCACTAAATGACTTCCCCCTCTATCAGCAAAAACGAGGACTAGATCCTGTCAGTGAGTTAGAAGCTTCCAAACCCCCTTCTGGATCCCGAGAGTCTTTGGGTGAGAACTCTTGCATTTCAGGAGTTTTTCAATTAGATGACATTCTGAAAAGTAGCAGCCCTCAACCATTGACTAAGAGTGGGAAGAGCAAATCCTTGAAAGCAGACAAAAGTATGGACAGTCTGAGAAGCCTGAGTACTAGAAGCAGTGGTTCAACAGAAAGCTACTGCAGCGGGACTGATCGTGACACCAACAGTACCATCAGTAGCTATAAAAGTGAACATACTAGCTCAACGCATATAGAAAGTGTATTGTCAGAGCATGAGGAGGAGTCTCCTAGAGAAGAGGAAAAGGATGGTAAGAAAAAAGACTGTGGTGTCAACTCAGAGGATGACAGTAGTTCTACTACTGACAAAAGGACTAGTAGCGAAAGGACTGCTGTGGAAGTGAGTCCTCTGGGTGGTGTTCAAGAGGTAAAGGGTTCTAATGCATCTGATGAGATGCACAGCCAGAAAGGTCTTGGTGCCTCTGCTTCAGAAGAGGCCAATAAGAACCCACATGCCAATGAATTGACTACACAAGCTGACAGGCCGCATGGGAAGGCTGCTGAACAAAGAGATGAGCAGAGTGAGAAACTAGCTGTGTTAGTAGATTCAAGAGCTGCTAAAGAAACTAGTGGAAAACAAAAAGAAGGAGATGTCCGACCAAAATCTTCTAGTTTGATACATCGAACAGCCTCTAGCCACAAATCAAGCCGGAGAAGGACAGGAAAAAAGCGGGCTAGTAGTTTTGATTCAAGTCGGCACAGGGAATATGTTTCCTTCCGAGGTGTATCTGGTACTAAACCTCACAGTGCTGTGTTTTGTCACGATGAGGACTCCAGTGATCAAAGTGACTTGAGCAGGACATCAAGCATGCAGTCAGCTCACCAGTTCAGCAGTGATAGCTCTTCCAGCACCACCTCCCATTCATGCCAGTCTCCTGAGGGAAAATACAGTGCTTTAAAGACCAAATACGTTTCTAAAGATCGTGGGGGCACAGACTCTGAAAATGCTCACAAAACCCACGTTAGCTCTGAAGGAATTAGCAAAAAAAGATCTACACGACGGACTTCTAGCACAAACAGTGCCAAGAATCGTGCCAGAGTGTTAAGCCTGGACAGTGGTACTGTAGCTTGTTTAAATGACCCAAATAGTTTAATGGCACCAGGTAACATAAAACAGTTAACCACTTCAAAATCTGATTTGGAAGCCAAAGAAGGAGAGGTGCTAGATGAGCTATCTCTGTTGGGAAGGGCTTCACACTTAGAGTCAGTCACTCGTTCTAGGAATAGCTTACCAAGCCAGGCTACATTTCCTGAAGGGGAAGAGCAAGAATCAGCAAGTGGAGGTAAGTAAATGACCTACCAGAAGTACCTTGTCATATTTTGTTAATGAGTGACTTAAATTAAAACTATACTTAAGCATCTTCCCTGTTTCTCCACTCTTGCACAGTAAAACTGAAAAAGCGTTTCCTTTGCAATATTGTGAAAGATCTACTGAAATGGGTGTTGAACCCAAACAGGTTTTACAAAAGCTATAAGTAGAGGTGTTAGGGGTTTGTTACCATCAGTCCTCATTAATTAGAGCTGTATCTTAAAGCTATTATTTGTGATCAAATCAAATCTGCTCCATTTTACTGAGTAATACAAACGACTGCAGCCTCTCTGGCATGGCTTGAGGTGGTGTCAAGAAATAAAACCAATCCCAAGCTCTTACCATGCTGCCTTTAATTGTGGATTCTTACAATGGTCTAGTTACTAAGTTGAATTCTCCTAGGGATTTAATTTTTGCTTAGCCTTGCCTTTGCTGGCTAGACAGTCTTGTTTACTTTGAGTTTTTGGGTTTTTTTTGTCTTGATTATGTGAACACAATAACCTTCCAATGCTGGAGAGGAATGTAGTTTCCTCTTATTTTCCCTCACTATTGTTTTGTTTGGTGTAATGTGAACAATAAGCTACCTGGAGTAGCTATTATTAATACAGATTAGTAGTAGCATTTAAAACAAAATTTGGAACTCTTAATATTTTTCTGTTTATTGCTTATTATAATGTTTGTTTCTTTTCTTGGTTAACTATATTTGCTGCCTTGACTTGAAGACTTTTTGTTTTGAGGTAGATAAGTGTCTTTAAAATACATTTTCAGGACAGTATAGGGTTGCTAATTAACTCAGTCTGACTTCTGGAATTTTCAAAGGCCAATACCTACCAGATAATCTGGATCTTTACATCTAGGTGGACAAACCCTTCATAAAATTGTATTTTAGATCAAGACAAGTATTTTTAACAAACTATGGCTAATTTGACTGTTCCTATTATATAGACTGCCTAAAATATATAGTGATTAATCTTAAAAAGGTTTCCAGCCCACAGTGAGATAGGTTGTATGACCAATAGTGAGGTTTTCTTTTGGTTTTGTTTGGAGTTTTTTGTGGAGTTGTTTTTGTGGTGTGTCCCCCAGTATTAACAAAACAGCTATAAAAATCAGTACAATTAATTTCTGGGGAGTAAAAGAAAGCATGCCACACTGAAGTTCAGCTGTGTATTGATTATTGATGAATTTTGACTGGTTTACAATTAGTTCAGACCTATTTATATGCCTTCACTTTACTGATGTATGCAAATTTGTTTTTTGGGTTTTTTTAACTTTTTCTGTTATTCCTAGGAACAGATTGTTGCAGTAGCTTTAATAAAAGAGTCAAGGTTACTCTTCTAGTACTAACCCTAGAAGCTGAACACTTAAAACATATTCTTCCTAAGGCCTTGTTAAAGTGAGAGCTCTCCATGTTTACTGAGAGTAATGTGACTAATAAAAGGTCTCTCTTATGTATTTACCATTTTGACTCTATGCTTTCCTTAGCACAAAATTTGATTTCATTCTGTTTTGTGTTGTTACTGCTTAAAGCTATTAAGATTCTCCCTTTACGTGCAAAGGATTAACATAACTTAAGTTTAGAACATGTCAGACTTTGTACTTTGTACGTGCTTACTAATTGTCAGTAGGCTGAAAGAATTAATGTAAGACAGATGCTGAATATCGTGAAATACTTTAATTGCTCTTTTGAAAAAGTTTGTCTTCCCCACCATTTCATTGAATGAAATTTCAAAGTAATCTTAAAGGTACAAACTTACAGCAGCTTAAGCTTGAAAGGCTTGCTGGCCTGATCCATTTCCAGTTTTCAAATGACCATCATGTAAAATTTTAGTTGTTAGTATTTTTAATAAATGGCAAATATCCAAGCTGTACTTCTCAATGGATTGCAGGCTGTCTTTAAGAAGCAATCTGGAATTGAGTGCTCTGCATCTGCTGACATGATATGGTTAATAACACTAGCTGTATATTGTTTCTTCCTACCTTCCATCTTACTGTTCTTCCTAAGAGAAAAGGAAGTATTTGCTTTATGATTGTAAGAAATGAATGTCATTCTGCCCCTTTTTTTTTTTTTTTGAAAGCAGAACAAATTTTTCTTTAGCACTGCTTAAACATTTACTCAGTCTTGTCTACCAGCAAGGTAGTAATTACATTGCATTTATTTGTTCATGATCAATCTAATTCTTTCATAGTGTCCTTCCTTACTGGTTTTTCTCTTGTGTGGGTTTGTTGGATAGTTTTCCCCACAATTTATAGCTTATATTACAAGTTTTGTAACATCTGTATCTTTAATTGTGGATTTCTTCTTTAGGCTTACCCATGACTAATATTAATGAGAGAAAATGTTTTAACTGTTTAGAATCTAAGTGCTTTATAGCCAGTATTTCTTACTACTGAGATGTATTAATATTTTGGGGGGGTTTTAAAGACATACATGTGTAATATATATATACATGTCATGTGTATAAATGTATAGCATTTTTTTTGAGAACATTAAGAAATTATTTTATTTACTTGTTGCAAGTGAATTACAGAATCAACTTGGTTTGGATTTTCATAAGATCAGGGGATATTGGTTGAGTGTGATTTTTAGAAGTAGTCTGGTCCAATCTTTTGCTGAAGGATTATTTTATAATTTTATATAAATATTTTTTAATGTCTGTGACTGCTTATGGTAACTTTCTGAAACAAATAATTAACAGATGCACACAGGATAACTAAAAGACTGATACTAATACCACATCTTTTTTTCCAGTGAGCAGCTTTCAGTTTCTGTTTTTCAAATATTATTTAAATCAATAATTATAACTTCATTTTATCCTTCAATCTTTAGAGACTAGAACTACATTCTTGTTCATGTAACTGCTAAAATGTGTATCTTAATGGATATGGTCTTTACTAATCTTCTACTAAGCAGGATGTTGTACAAACTTGTACATATTTCACTTCTGCAGATACAACTTAGTACTTTCATTTCTGTATTATCATGCCAGGAAGTGGTGAATGACTCATTTGCTGTGAGATAGTATGTGCATTTGAATAGAAATTGCAATTCATTAAAATGCAGAGAAACAGCATCTGGAAATTCTGAAATTATGTGTGTGTGGTGGATATATAATAAAAAAATGGAAGACGTCTTATGGTAGTTGTTATCCTTGTTCAGCTATTCAGACTCCAAAAGTAGCTAGTGAATTGATGAGTCATGGGTTAGTTGCAGTTGCTCCACTGTATGGTGATATTCTGGAAATACCCTCTTTGCACTGTCTTGTGCCTGGTTTCTGTCAGATGTGTGCTCTTTCTGGATTGTTGTTTGTAACCATTTAGAGAACCACCATAATGCTGTATGTAACACAGTGATGTTTTGTAAAACTTGAGCTGGCCTGAAAAGTCAAGTGTTCTTTCCAGTTCTATATTAATTGTAAAAGATGTGCTCTTTAAGTTGCTGCTCTGATTTACAGCTTGCTGCAATTTAAGGTTTATTTACTTACTTTTAGTTCTTAAGATACATACCCTTTTGTAAATAAAACTGCATGTAGTGTGACGCATTTTTCCTTCTGTACATTGCATAGCAATATTGAAGTAACAGCTCATACTGTTTTCTGTCTTTTGAGGTCTGCAGTACATCTCTACAGGCAGGCAAAATAAGGCTTTGTGAATTTGGATTAGTCTTGTGTTTCATATGACACATGGAAACCTGTTCACCTCTTCAGTCTGTATTTGTACATATATGCTTAGTGTGTCTGCCTGCAATTAAAAAGTGCAGTTCTCTGTTACTCAGCCAATGGTCATGGCAGCTGCTGGCAACATATGACTTTTCCCTTCTATACTGGTGTTTCACATGGTCTGTGTCATTGATTTGCCTGTTTTGCAGAGCTGTTCCATGCTTCTGATGGCTTTAGTTTTTGCTACATTTTCCTGCAGATAGAATGACTGTAATTACAGAAGATGAGTCTTCTGTTTTCTGTGCGTCTGCCAGTTCATGCTCAAACTACTGAACCAAACAGTCCTGCATGAGAAACTGGAGTTTAGAAATGGTAGAAACTGAAAAATGTGTAAAGTTCCTGTGATCAGGTTGTGTGTATGTTGGCTGTCTCTATTCGTGTATTCCGCAGAACGGTGCTGTAACTGGACCCAGGTAAGCAGATCAGCAGTAGAAAGGGCTCTCATCTTATAAGCATTTTACTGTACTGTCACAGCTTTTGTGTGTGAGTTTTACAGAATTTCCTCTGATGCTGGATATCTTGTCATCTCAGTCGAGGTCAGATTGCTACCGTTAAGCACTTAAAGATGTAGGCAGCGTTAGAAATTATATATATATGAGGCTATTGTAGAATTCCTGCAGTTCTGGAACTTACCAATGAAATAACACTTGAAATGCATCTTGCATCTATTAATTGTTAACCACTTCCTAGTAAAGCAGAATTTTAGTAAGTTTTGTGGAGATTCAGTCCTGTGTTTTTTCCCCTATGGATGACACAGAGGCTTTCATTAGATGACTTTTGCTTGATTTGGGAAGAGTGGTTCCATTTTGTTGACATGTGTTGTTCATGTATTTGCTAAGTATTCATCTCAAACAGGAGTTGAATAGGAATTTTTGGAATTAGATTAAAAATCAAAAATCTATCAGCTGTGATGGAATTGTTCACATTGCTGTAAAATGTAGCTGTGAGATAAAACTCATTAATTTATTGAAGTCGGCCACTAATTAATGTTTGGGGTTTTAGTTAAGGCTATGTAATGCAAACATGACTTTCTCTGTATGATATGCTAGCATCATCTGCCACATATGCTGGTAACACTGTGTTTTGAAGATTTACAGCATCTTTTCCTTTAGGTGAATAAATCTAAACACAAAGTCAGAACTAACTTTATTAAAGATTAATGTCAATTATGAACATTTGTCTGCTACATGAATATAATGCTAGGTATTGATACCCAAACTCTGGGATATAGGGTCTGCATTGGACAGGGGGTCAGATG